CATGGCACCTAGTTTTTCTCCTTAAATTCCTATTTGCAGGGAAAATATAGTTCATATTCTTACACCAATTTCCCCCAGCCACTTACACATAAACTACATCTTTTTTTATCAGAACACCCCAAATTATGTTCCTAAAAAAAGCAGCATGAAATGAAATGCAGTCTGTTTATGAAAAGTCTCTCCTCTAGACAGTGGCTTCTAGTCTCTATGGACACTCAGGATTTGCCTTCAAAGTACTTTGAGACCACACACAAGCACCCAAAAAGGTTACTCTCCAACACCTGAATATTTATGTAAAGCTTTTTTCCCTGCATTTTCTAAACCAAACTCTCCTGGAACCATTAAGTTCACTAAATTTTAATTTTTACGAAGTATTGAAAAATCTTTTTAATTAAAATTACGCTATAAAAAAAGCATACAAATAGCAATACATACTCCAGGGCTAGAGGTGTCCCTCTAAAGCACAGTGTTTGTTGGGCATTCTCAGGATTCTTGGTTCATCCCAATGTGCCCCTCCCTGGAAAAACAATACATCCTCCAAATAGTTCAAGTAAAATTCCAGCTCAAACTGACCAACAACCAATCTTAACATAGTCCTTTACAAGTTAAGCCTCAGAACAAGAACTGTTCAGTCTTTAGAAAAACGTAACAAAAGAAAATGAAAACTTAGAAACTAGCAAGCCTGTGAGCTGCTTGAGGTGAGAGGATTTTGGATAGATTTATTGGATTCTGTTTGTTAGGGGAAACTACACAACAGACTGCTTATACTTAGGGAGGACACAGAAATATCCCAATGCAATAAAAAAAAAACAAAAAAAACTAATGCCTCTTCATAATGCTGACTATGAGTCAAGAAAAGGATAAACTGAGTAGCCTTTATGATATTGAAGTTTTTAATACATTTGAGGAATTTTTTCCGATAGGTCCTGTTATATTTTAAGTTTCAGTCAGTGTGTGTCTCAGTAAAGTAGAACACCTTATTCTCTAAACGCACCTGATAATTAAGACACTTATGTCTACTGAGGGCTACAAAATTAAAAGAGACGTTTCTAACTCAAGGTAGGCATGGGCAAGAAACCTACATAATTAAGCCCAGCTATTTCATGCAGGGTCCGGAAAAGGAATGGGGGAGGGGCTGATTTATCCAGCAACACGTCAAATATGAACGGCCACTGCGGGACATACAAAATACAGGTCAGCCGGAGTGCTCCAGCTCAGCTCGTGGGAAGATTAGCTCAAGTCTCAAGCCACACCGGGGCCGCTGTTGCACTGCTCACTAATTCGGGCAAAAACTCAAATCACCCTAAGTCACCTCCTACACATCGCAATGTTTACTTCACCTTTGGGGTGTCCCTCTTTACCTGGGTAAGGGGTGTACACTTCTCAGAACACCCTACAACTCTGAACTGTTCAGCCGTAAGCTTCTGGAGCTCTGCTTAAGTTGCTCCGGGATCCGAGTCTAAGTAAAGGCCCCGCTGTTAGAACCCCGGTTTCCGCCTCCCCGAGAAGGACCGGCTGACACTATAACCAGCCCACTTTTTAACCTCATCGAGGTGCAAGCCGGACAAAGGAGAGGACGCCGCTCCCCTCGCGTCCCGGTCTCGGGTGGCCGGACTCTGCTCCCTCACTCCGGAACGGGACCAGATCCCGGACGCCCCAAATCCCATTGTTGGGAACGGAGGCGGACACACCCCTGGGAGGGAGGGAGGGAGGGAGGAAGAACTTCGCGGATTTCCCCTAACTCTGCGCACCGGGCGGTGGGAGGGGCCGCGCTCCGGGACCAGCGAGAGGCGAGCGGCTCCAGCATGGCGCACGCGTGGCCCAGCCGCGGTCCAGGGCGCCCCAAGCCAGGCGCTCCCTCCGTCCACCCTCCTCGGAGCCTTAATCCACCCTCGCTCCCGGGGGCCCGCGGGCCCGGCTAAAAATAGGCTCCACGGTCACCCCGCGGCCCGAACGGGCCGACCTCGCCCTCGGGAGCCGGCCCCCGGAGCTCCGGCCACCGGCGAGAGCAAGGGTCGGGCCTGGCGGCCCGGGAGAGGCCGAGGCGGCGCCCCGGAGCCGGAACCCGCCGGCGGATCCTCAGAGCCGGCCAGCGGCGGCGCGGCCTGGGCGGACGCTGCAGACTGCGACCCCCGGGGCCGAGGCCTACCCGGAGAACGCGCCCCGCGCCCGAGCGCACGGAAGCCGCCGCCCGCCACCCCCCGGAGGCCCTGCTCCTCACCCTGCGCAGCCGGGAACCAGGCCGGGACGACGCGGCGGCGCGGGCTCCACAGCCGGCTCCGCGCGCTCGCTCCGAGGCCCCGCCGCAGTAGCTCAGGTGCCGTCGCGCCGCCCCGCAGGAAACGGGCGGCTTCGGGGCGGGGCGGCTCCGCACGTCCGGGCGTCGCGGCCAGAGGGGCCCGGAGACCGGCCCCTTAAAGGGACAGGCCCGCGAGCCCGGCGGCCTCCAGATGCCCCCGCTGCCCTGCGGAGACGTCACCCCCTCAGCCTGGAAGTCTCTATGGAATCCCTTCATCGACTCAACTCTACTCTGACTCCCCGCCCCGCTCCCCCCATCCCTCGGCCTTGGTCTCACGTGACCCTCGCACAAGAGTACCACTTGGCACCGGACACCGGATAATTCCTCTTAACCATACTCAAAGTTGCTAGACGTCACACACACACACACACACACACACACACACACACACACACACACACACACACACACACACACACACTCAGCAGAGATTCCTCTGAAATTTAAAAACAAAAAAAAAAACAAAAACGAGCTCCCTTTGCTGAGTATCTAGCGTTCTCTCTGAATTCTCCTGGGAGCAATCCTAGCTACAAGCCGAGAGAGATTCAACACCGACCTAAATAAATTGTGCAAATACTATGAGGCTGCAGTGTCTGCTGGCTGGTGGCCATTCCTTAAACCAGGGTAAATAATGAGAAACTGCAGCGCAAAGAGGGATTGGCCTCAATCCCTGCTTCTCTTTGCTCTCTGCTGCGAGGATGGAAGCGGTTTGTCCGGTGTTAATTTTTTAGTGATTAATTTGTATTATTCTCTCAAAGAATGCCGGTCACTGCCCAGAACGTAGTTTCAAAATACTCAAAGCTCTTCTCAAAAGTTACCCCGCTTCTGGAGTGCGGGTAGAGATACAGGCAGGACTCGCCGTCACCCATATACTGACTAGGGACATCCTTAAGGATTTGAGCTGCAGATAGGTCTCAACATTAACAGAATGTCTGTTACAAGAATACTGTGCACCTGGATTCAGATGATTTCTGGCCCAGCTCTCCAGAGCACCTCCAAAGCAGAAATGGAAACTGAAGCACATGCCCCAGCAGCCTGATGAGGTGTTGAGAATTCTGCCAGCGACTAGTCACCACTTTCTCCACCGCGACATTCTATCAGATTTGAACTCAAGGAGCCTGCCCTTCTTTTTCCTTCTCATAAGCATTACTCAGCCCTCAGCGACTCCAAGGCCAGCAAAACGCTGGTGCTGAGCGGCTGTCTCCTGAGCCTGTGAATGCCAGAAGAGCCGGCTTTGTTGGGAAGTGAAACCATTAGTGGCTTAATACAAAGTGGAGCTGTATCGTTTCTGTAATGGAATTTAAAGGCCCTTGAATAGCTTACAAACAACTCTAATTCCCCCCCCCAAAAAAAGGGGGGGGTAGAAGAAGAAAGACGGTTTCCAGTTAGAATTAATTTTTTCTATCTGACTTTAGGAAAAGGACACCATCATTTTACACACAAATAATACTTAGGTGCATTTGTTAGACAGTAAAATGGTCTTTAGAGAACCAGTTCTTTAAATGTACTGCTGCTTGTAGTCGATAAAGAAGTATAAATGCATCAGCTACTTCATCTTTTCTGGCTGAATTTGACTCTTCAAAGGGAAGTGACCAGATGCTTCATTATATATAAGCTTTCCAATGGCTCACATCAAAACAAAAAGATCTACTAGAAATGTTACAGGTGGCAAGCCTTATTGGGGTGTAAGATCGACCCTCAAAGTTTTGAAGTATAGTAAAATGTAACATAATTAACTGTAATTAACACATATAATTAACCTAAGTTATAACTAACTTTGCTGCTTACTACCCACCCATGTTGCCAGAACCCACAACTAACTTGCTAAAAAGCATTAGCACTCAGCATTAAAATAACCAAGAAATTAAACCTTTTTGAAACTGTAAGCTATAATGTAGCTACCTAAAGAGTATGTCCCCTCTCCCCGTCATTTGACAAAAGTGCAGTTTACTGCTTTTAGCATGTAGCAATTTCCATCTTCCTGGATTTTGAAAAAGATTTAAAGACATGGAATATAAAGACAGATAGATGAGGGAGAAGCCTGCCTATTCCTGCAACATATGAGTAAGAGATTGTATCTCCTAACTCCTCCAGCTCAGGGAAGGCAGAGATGGCAGCGCACAGAATTGGAAGCGGGGATTTCAGGACCACCTTCACTTGAATGACGAGTAAGAAGGTAACCAGCTCTTAAACAAAAGAGTGGAGCCAGGCAGTGACGGCCCATGCCTTTAATCCCAGCACTTGGCAGACAGGGGCAGGAGTATCTCTGTGAGTTTGAGGCCAGCCTCATCTGCAAAGTGAGTTCCAGAAAATCCAGGGCTCCACAGAGAAACCCTGTCTGGAGAAAAGAAAACAAAGGAGCTAATGCACAGAAGGGAGTCTGTGCTGTGCCCCTTTTCAGACATGTGGCGTGCAAGGGCTTGTATAACAGTAAGGGTCACAAGTCATCTGTCACTCAGGATGTATGTCCTCATTCTTGAATCTGGGAGGGCGGGCTCTGTGGTAGCTATGACCAATCCAGTGCAGCGGAATTAACGTTATGCCAAGTTTCAGGCCCACATCATTTCACTACCTGCTTCTTGGGGCCACTCTTCTTAGACCTCTAAATTGCCTCTTAAGAAATCCCACTCCGGCAGACCTCGAGGTCCTTGTTGCTCCTCTATTGGGTCCTCGCGCTGTGCCGGAATGCAATCTGGAGCATATGGCACTCACCACTCAGGTCTTGTAATGTGGAGCTTGAGGCTACAAGCCCAGTTATCTCCAGCTCAAGGAGAAACTAGAACATGAGTTTCCTGGATGCCTGGACGTTTGTGGTGAGGGGGCTCCTCAGATCACGGAATTCTTTGAAGTGAGAGTAGCTGGGAGGTGGGTTCACTCCAAGAAGAGAGGTGATGATTACGTGGATACAGAAAGCAAGTTTTGGAAACTCAGTGCCAGTGACCCCTGAAGGCAGGGTCCTGAGACCCCGGGACAGCCGCCTTATGACAGCAAGAATGAAATGTCTCAAAGACCTATGGTCTTTCCTCGGTGTTCCTGCAACCACCAAGTCAAGCTAGAGGGCACCTCTGTGAGGGGTTGTGCCTCCCCAGAATCCACCTGTGCAGGAGCCCTGTCCTGCCCTTCTGCCCTCTTTCTCACCTCTCCCTGAATTCTTCCATGTCTCCCATCTACCCTCCTGCCTTGGTTTCTCTTCTCCAGCTCAGACTGCAAGAAGATAAGCAGCCATGTTGCCAGCTGTCCCCAGTTGAATAAAAGTTGGATGAGGCCACTTTAAAAATAAAAATAAAAAAAGAAAGAAAGAAAAGAAATCCCACTCCGTTACTGAGGAGACCACTTAGAGAGACCCTGAGACTAGACAGAGGGGAAGGTGGCTCCACTGGACCCCCAGTCTTTCAAGTAACTGTCCCCTCCAAGATGTCACGTTGAGGAATGAACCTTCCAACTGCCACCATGCCCCAGCTGGTCAAACAGTTTTTAAAAGCTACCTTTTGGTACTTCTATATATTGTTTAGGAAATGTCAGACTTTTGAGAAGAAGTAAGCAGATTCCAAGCTCTGTTGCAAGGCATTATTCTGTGAAGGCTACAGAATAATTTTTTTTCTGGATCACAAGTCCCATGACACAGAGCTCTCTGGCATCCTGAGGGGCCTCACTCCCTCAGTAATGCTCTCCTGGCTCTCCTGTTCATATGCTCTCACTCTCTAGCTCTCCCTGACTGTCAGTAATGTGAGAGGTACTCGCCTGACAGTGTATCCTCTCTGCCCGTGTGATACCCATCCTGCAACAACTTGCTTCTGTAACCACAGCTAGATCCTGCAGGACTCCTTGGCATAGTGGCCAGTGACATTCCGGTGACAGCCACGCAGCATCTTACAGTTCATCTGGTAGACCCTCTCTGTCACGTGACACCAGAGAGTGTTTTTTGCAAAGCTCCTCTTTCTTTGCTTCAGTCACGAGGCCTTTCTGAAATACAAGATGCCCTGGCTGTCTGAGATGCGAACCCATTTCCCATCAGGAAGATTCATGCCACAGCGAGGGCCTGAAGTATTTCCCAGAAGTAGCTGACATGATAGAGTGGTGGGAAATGACTGGTAAAGTTCGGGTGATGGGCAAGAGAGATGGTGGCTTTGTAACACTGGAGTGTTGCTCTAATAGGAGCAAGATAAGCTCTAAAGAGATGCCAACTGCAGTCAGAACACGAAAGAGCACGGACCTCTACAGTGCAGTATGGGAGCAGAAACAGAGAAGAAAAGGAGATGGTGCTTCAAAGTGCCCCCCCCCCCCTCTCTCTCTCTCTCTCTCTCTCTCTCTCTCACACACACACACACAAACACACACACACACACACACACACACACACACACACACACACACACAAATTGCCTCCTAATATTTGCAGATTTCAAGGTCTCTATTCAATGAGAGGAAGGCACCTACGGAGAGACATCTACCTCCTTGGACAGAAACTTGAGGCCTCCATCTTGCCTTTTTTGTTTCTAAAACCAACAACCCACACAGGAGGGGTGTGCTCTTCCGACTTGGGTGTCATAGATCTGTGGTGGTATTGTGTTCCCCAAAATATTGTGCACCCTAATAAACTTATCTGGGGTCAGGATCAGCTGAGGAACTGGCGAGGTGAGGTAGCTGTGGCTTGTTCTGCTTCTCTGATCTTCCAGCATTCACCCTAATAACTGGTCTCAGGTTTGATTTAATTAATAGGACCTTTTAAGACTCATGCTACATAGGTCTCTGTTAGCAAGACCTAACTTCTGATCAGGTCTCTCATAACAGGGTAATCAACACATGTCAAAGTATTGATGTTGTCTGAGACTTCTTCAGCTTTATCATGGACTCACATCCTAGGGAATCCCTCAATCCTAGGAAAACTGGAACAGTTGATCATTCGTCTTATTTTCCCCGAGCATCAAAACTATGCAGTACATTTGCTTTAGAGTGGATCTTACGTATGTCAGGCAGAATCTGCCTCTACATTTCAAAGTTCATCCTTGATGACACTCAGACTTCTTTTGTAGTCCAGGGAGAAAATGTTCGAAGATAAAATAGGATTGCCCCTTCACTCGGTCACTCTGTTCACAGACATCTTTAGTGGCTTGAATTCATTTCATTATAGCAATGCTTCTTTGGCAGCAACTTGATGGAAAAGTGCTGAAGGAGACACATTTCGGCTCATTACCTCTCCCTTCTAATCTCTCTCTCTCTCTCTCTCTCTCTCTCTCTCTTTCTCTCTCTCTCTCTCTCTCTCTCTCTCTCTCTCTCTCTCTCTCTCTCTCTCTCGTCGTGTGTGTGTGTGTGTGTGTGTGTGTGTGTGTGTGTGTGTGTGTGCTGGGATAGAAGATATATATTCAGCCACAAAGGTACATGTGGATCATGTCCTTGTCAATCATGTCTCCACCTTATTTTTTGAGACAAACTCTCTCACTGAACCTAGAGCTTACGCTTTGGCTAGACTGGCTGGCCGACATTCCCAGAATTCATTTGTTTGGGTCCCCTCAATCCTGGGGTCACAGGTGTGTGCTACTACACCCGGCTTTTATGTGAGTACTGGAGATCCAAACTCAGGACCTCACACTTGTGCTGTAAACACTTTAACCACTGAACCATCCTCCCAGGCCCAACATCCTCCAGTACTGTCATGATCTTGACCTTTTTGTGTACATTTTCTTAATCTAACTTTTCCACTATGGAATTGTAGAGATCATCCCAAACTCAGACACTGCAGGTTCATTTGTAATTACTCCGTTCTTAAACTCCATTACTTTTCTTTTAGTTTACAATTTGTCATGGTCCTCAGGCATTCCGACAGATACAACAACAATACACTCGCATTTCTCATTCAGCAGGTCATTGATTTCTGCCTGTACCATGCTGGTGACCTCCGACTTTCAAAACCTCCGTGTTCTTCTCTAGCATCTTATTAACAATCACTTCTCAGCGAGAGCTTGTTCAAAAGGGGCTTCGAGTTTGCACCTCAGTGTCGTTCTCTGCTGTGCCCTGGCAGAGACATCTGTGATTATCAAAAGATATACTTCCATGTGGACTCAGTTTACTGCCCCAACCACAGAGTAGAACTCAAAAACGAAGAGTAAGATTCGGTTCGTTTCAGGGGAGAAACAGCCGGGGTAGAGCAGTACCTTCCCGCCAAACCTCGGATGGTGATGCCCTCAAGCAAACGATGGCTTACATAAACCACTCATCCTGAGATCTGTTCTTACCAATCAGTTCTTTAATTTTTCTAGGACAACAATAAAGAACAGCAGGTCCTGCAGAAACAATTGGCTGTCCTTTTTTTCTGTGCTAACCAAGAACTATCCAGTGTGCTTAGAGACTCACGCCAGTTTGTTAGAGTCTGTCTCCAAAGGACCTGGGGGAAGAGAGCTAGCTCATGATTTTTTATTCTTATTAAAAATCTTATTATTTTATATGTTTAGCCTCTTATTTGTGGGCAGTGGGGTGGCCTTGAGGCAGGCAAGCTCCTACTGGTTCCCGACTTTGCATAGAAACTGAGATTATAGAAGCACAAAGGCTAACAGCAACAATGTCCTCTTCAGTATCTGACGAGACAATGGGGAATAGAAAGGACAACTGCTCAGCAGAAGCTCTAACGCTGACTCTCAGAGAGAGTTCTAGGAATACTCATGCTGGAAATCACTTAGTACGGAAAAGGGGAAAGAACAGAAAGAAACAAATGTTTCCATTTAAAAGGCTTTTGTTGTTGTTTTGCTTTGAATCGCCTGCTGAAAGCTTCCAAAAAACCCTTCATGTTAAAATGGTCCTCGACATTTTCCAGCTTCTTTTCTCATTCTCTTACTTGATCCTATCTCACCATCTTGTGAGTCTGCTACAGGTGACAAGATACTTTCAAGGGCTGGAGAGATGGCTCAAAGGTTAAGAACACTGGCTGCTCTTCCAGAGGTCCTGAGTTCAATTCCCAGCAACCACATGGTGGCTCACAACCATCTATAATGAGATCTGGTGCCCTCTTCTGGCCTGCAGGGATACATGCAGACAGAACACTGTGTACATGATAAATAAAATAAATCTTAAAAAAAAGATTTATTGCCAGGCGGTGGTGGCGCACGCCTTTATTCCCAGCACTCGGGAGGCAGAGGCAGGCGGATCTTTGTGAGTTCAAGGCCAGCCTGGTCTACAGAGCGAGATCCAGGAAAGGCGCAAAGCTACACAGAGAAACCCTGTCTCGGAAAAAAAAAAAGAAAGAAAGATACTTTCAAGGACTTTGGAGCAAAATGGAAGTTCAGAGTAGAGTTAGAAGTCAGGAGAGGGGCTGGAGAGATGGCTCAGTGGTTAGGAGCACTGGCTGCTCTTCAAGAGGGCCCAGGTTCAATTTCCAGCACCAGCACAGTGGCTCACAACTGTCTGGCCTCTGCTGGCCACCAGGCACACATCTTGTGCACAGATATAAATGTAATCAACATCTACACATTAAATTAGAAAAGTCTAGAGATGATTCAGTCTGTAAAGTCTGTACCCAGGTGTAAGCTGGGCATGCTGGTGAAATCCCGGCACTCAAGAGGCAGAGGCAGACAGACCTCTGTGAGTTCAAGGCCATCCTGGTCTACAGTGAGTTCCAGGACAGCCAGAGCTATGGAGATAGACTTTGGGTATAGTGACACACACTCACAATCCCATTAAAAAAAGCAGAGGATCCCTGGGGCCCACTGGCTAGTGAACCCCACTCCAGGATGTGGAATCACACTTACGCACATGAGAGCATGCGCCACACATCAGGAGAAATTAGGGTGGAGTCTCACAGACACTTGAAGACAGGAAGAGGCCTTCTAAGGTGTTAAATGCGCATCTTGCATCCCCTCTCTTAAAAGCGGTATGTTTAAGAATTTAAAGCCACGTTCAGCAACAGGGAGTCCAAGATGGATAAAAGCTTATCCAAAGAGGTTCTTGGGGCTTGGCCTTTATATAGTAAATTATTAGCTGACACTCAGTTTCGGAGCAGAGGTAGTGAATCTGATGGATTGCCAGCTCTGCTCAAGGTGTGATTCATGGGTTATTCGGCAGGGCAGGGTGAGGACGAGAGGCATTTCTACAAATCAGCTGTTTTTTCTCTCTCTTTGGGAAACGGCCTCACTATGAACTCTGGTTGGCCTTGAGTTTGCGATCCCATGTGTTAGCCCCCGAGTGCTGGTGTTACGAGTGTGTGCCACACTTTTTAAAGGCTGCTATTCACCTCAAACAGAGCTACTCATTCCATTCCTCAATAGGTACTAGCTAC